GATGAAGGACAATCCTAGAAAACGTGAGTGACTGCGGGATCTGCTGTGGATGATGAGGCAGAGCTCAAAACAGACCCAGTGGGTTTTTTTAGCCCTGACAGCATGCAGAGCATGAGCTGGCTTTGTGCACAGCTACCGAAGCAGCTTTGCCTTGAGTTATCCAGTGCTCCAAGGCAGTCGTGCTCTTAGAGAGGAGCCAGTGAACACAGGCAGCTGGCTTGCGTTCATGCCTTTGTGGAATGGGGCCAACACCTTCCTGCACCCTTTCAACAGGTGAAACTTACCTTTGATAAATCCATCATTAGGTAATAAAGCATTGCAAGAGCATGCAAGACTCTGGCAGTTTCCCCAGGTTGTTGCTTTGGTGCCTTTTCTCTGATATCTAGTACTGCATTCAGGACCTGAATTGCTTCTGCTTGCTGGGCTTCAGCTGCATCAAGAATGAAATAATCTTGTTGGATGTATGTATACAAGATAATATAATCAAAACTGCCCAATTATCTCTTCTAGACATCAAAGCACTTCTACAACAAGCATCAGTGTGGCATTCCAGCTCCATGCAAATTCCATACCCATTAACAGGTATCTTTTCATCCAGTCTGTAATTGTGTTGATTATCCTTTAGTAAGGATGTGAAGTCATAACAGCTGCATGAAAAGAGCAACTTTCATACTCCTGTCACATCTAAAGATGGATTCATGTAGACCTGCCTTGTTTGCTTCCTATTATTTGAAAGAATGCCAGGTAAAGAGATTTGCAGAAGCATTTCTTCTTCTCTGGCAATATTCTTATGAGTGTAGATGGTAGAAGGAAGACAAAGAATGGAATCTAGACTGACTTCACGAAGTGCTGAAGTCATACCATGCACAGTAGCATATTTCCCCATGCTTCATGCACCTTCCCCCAGTGTGTTCTCCAGATTAATACATCCAATTATTGACACATGCTGTTTCACTGCGTCCCACTGCTTCAGATGATAGAGCTGGAATTACCTAAGTGAGATGAAATTTCACCTAATTAAATGAAAGGAAAGGAGCCGCTGAGCAACGAGAATGCTGAAGTGGAACTGAATCCTGAAAGGCACCATCTTGTATTGCTGAAGTCAAGGATACTGTGAAAAGGGCAAGGCTGTGTTTCCACTTGAATGCTCTCATTTCTGAAGTGGCCCCACTTGTTTCATCCAGCACTGCCTGCTGGGCACAGCTATCAGAAACGCCCACGACTCTGATTAAACCACAGAAAGACGGTGCAAAATCCAACACAGTAAATATGACCACTAAGATGAATGGAATTTTTAAATTCCTGCCTCCCAAACACTCCTGCACAACAGTGCTGCTTACTCATGGTGTCTTCACCGACTTCCACTTCCTTGTCCTCGGTGAACGGAGACTTTTCTGCTCTCGACTTGTGAATTTGCTCCTGTGTTTGGACTGACTTCACAAGAAAAGTGTGCCAGATGTCAGTGACCTACCAGGAAGTGAATGAATTATTTCACCCATGTGAACACGTGGTATTCAGCAACTGGCTGTCCTACAAACAATGCATTCTGCAGCGCACGTCCCTTCCGCAACACCCCCAGCGCCCGCTGCTCAGCGGGCAGGAGCTGCCAAGCTGGATGTTTCACATGCAGATCTGATGGCTCTTCTCCCTCTGGGAGCCTGAGTCGGAAGCTCATTTCTCTACCTGAATATTAGTTTTCATCAAACTTGAACAAAACTAACTCAATTGCTAACTCAAAGCAAATTTGGTGGATGCTTGTGAGTGGAGCGGAGGCAAAGCCTCGTTGAATAGTCAGCCTAAACAACTGGAAGCTCATTTTTTCCCCAGTTGTTACTGTCATTAGACAACTGTCACTTCCTTTGTTTGACAAGCTTTTAGCAGTGTCACTTTTCACTGATATTCTGCTCAAATTTTACATGGCTTGTTTGCCTCCCACCGCTCAGCCACTCTTCCTTGGTTATGGAAACTCCCTGGCCTCCTGCTCTGCCTGTGGGAATGTCTTTAGTCTTTGGTGTGGGGCTTCGGGTAGTAAAGCTATTTTTTAATGAGGTTTACCTATGAAAACTACAACTTCAATACCTTTTCAGAATGTATTTGTTCTGGTTCTAACTTGGGGAAATGTTTGGATATGAACATGTTGATTCTGAAACACTGATATGGTTGCCATCATATTAAAGGCAGTCAGAAACAGGGAAACATTGAAAAGCACACAGGGGAAAAAAAAAAAAGAAAAAGTTAACTGAGAGATGGAGACCAGATGAGCTTTGGATTTACCAACCTCAGCATACAATGAGCTTGCTATGTCCATTTTGTGCTGGCGAGAAAAAACATTGGCCATGTGGAAATACCCCCCAGAGGCCTCAACAGATTTTAGTCCAAACGTAGAACTGGCGAGGTAAATCTGAAAACAATATTAAAAGAAAAGAAAAAGCAGGAGTTTAACATTCATACGAACCCTGAGACATTTTTCATTATTATGGATTAATAATATTGCATAATTCTGTCTTTTTCTGGGTAACTACCCAGTGTTAGTTACCCTTGATTGCAGCTGTGAAATGGGGTACCTGCACAGCAGGATTTTATGTGTTATGCACAGGAATGCAACACGCCCAAATGCCCTGCTAGCTGGTGCAGAAGATTCCTTCTCATGGTGTGCTGCCCTGTTGGAGCACAGACAGGTTCCTCACACCTCCTCCTCCCAGTGTGCATCCTGCAGGTCTCCTGTCTTCAAATGAACAACTTGCTGCTGCTTTTCAGAAGTCAGATGTGACCATGGAGGCTGTTTCCTCCCCAAAGCCCCAGCCAAAGCGAGGGGAAGGTAGTGGGAAGGCAGTGGCACATTCCAGCTATTCTGAGCTGGCATGTGACTCTCAGCAGATCTCAGACACTCAGCCAAAATCCAAGCAGGTCCTGCGCTGCTCTGATGCAGCCCAGAGACTCGCCAGTAGTAAAAAACCTACATTGCTGCTCCTTTTCAGGCACCAGACCAAAGCAACCTAAAAAAACCACAAAAGTGGCATAGCAGGGAATCTCTCCCAGTAGATTTACAGCAGGTTTACAAACTAAATGAAGCCAGAGTTGTGTGTGTTACGATAGAAAGCCTCTAATCCTCCTCCACCATATGTCATCGCTTACGCCCACAGAAAGCTGTTGTAAAAAGTGACTATCAAATTCAACAGTAGTGGGCATACATCACTCTGCACTGGGTAAATTTAGGCGACGTGGGACATAAATAGGAAGTCACAGAGTTCATCTGCCTTTGGGCTGTTAAATAACAGGCGAAGCATCCCCAGGAATGCTGCTGGCAATGTCCACTTCACATTTCTCCAACCACTGTCGAGGCTAAAAGGATTGAACTGGGGAAAAAGGTACTGAACCAGATATTTACATAGCTAAGTGAGGCATTCATTAAAGAATGGATGGAAAATTGCCATTGAACAGAAAAGTATTAAGGAAAATGACAGCCAAAATATACAGTCGCTTATCTGTAAACAAAAGGCTGCCACAGCAGTTTGCGGTAGGAATGTCTGTTGATATCAGGATCTTAACAAAGCTGGCAGAAAAAATTCTAAGCAAATGTAGGACAGATGAGTTATGTATCACTTGAGGATAACCAGAACTGGAAAAACACAGCTTTGGCTAACACATGGAGATACAGGTGTCTAAGACTCATGCAGTTCAGGTGTTCTTGATGTACTGCCCTGGCTCCTCAGCTCGGTGCCACAACCTGTCTGCTGGGTTCATATTGCTCAGAACAGCTACAGAGGGAAGGAAAACCGAAAGGCTGCTGCACTGTTATTGGCTTACATCATTGGCCAGGTGATACAAAGCCTGATCGAAGTTTCCATCAGCAGCGTAGAGAAGCCCCAGACTGCGATGCAATCTATGCTGGAAGGCACCGCTGCAATCTGGAGTTCTGAGGACAATCCACTGAGCTTGGGAGAGATAGTTAGATGCCTGCTGAAAGTTGCCAACACCTGAAATGACATAAGAAATACGCAGGATACAGAGCACTTTCTGCTTAGAAATGTAGAGGATGTTGCCTGCCATCCCTTTGCAGCAGTTTGACACAAAGACAGTTTGTGGATTCCCCAGTTCTGAGTTAAGCAAGTGCTCAGAATGTAACTCGCAAACAGCTACAAGAGAAACCAGAAACTGCATTGCGTTCAATGCCTCTGGAACACCAGTGTTCAAACCAGGTAACATCCAGGCAGAAGCTAACAACTGCTGTATTATCACACTCAAAATACTGATGGGATATTTCTCCTTCTCCCGCCTCCCCATTTTACAACAATCTTTCACATTGCTCAGTTGTGCCAGCAGAGCATTGTGTCTACTCCTGTAACAACAATGGTTTACAATCATTTCTCAGTCATTTATGTGTGCAGCTGAGCCACACAGTCAATGAGAAGAAGCTCTGCTCCAGGCAGAACTCATTTCTGTGAAGGAACAGAGGTGCTCCTCTGATGAGGTGGCCTCAAAGGTGTGCTGGCTGGGAATTCAATGCTTTTGTGAGCCATACGAAGCCACAGAGGTGAAGAGATGAACTTCATATCCCTTCTCTTGTGAGAATCTGTTAGAGATGGAGAAAATGCTCCATTTTTCACTGATCTCTCACCATTGATGAGAAATCTTTTTCCCCGGCCAACACAGGAGGTGGCACCTTGAATCTCCCTGGATGCCCTTCAGGCTGGGCATAGAACAGACATGGCACCATGACTGCAGAGCTGGCCTTTCCCTGGAATGCTGAGAGGAAACCAGAAACCTGACCCAGGGGAGCTTTTGCCCTTGCCAAAGTTACTGTTCAGACCTGTGCTTACCAATGCAGGCGTCAGCCAAGAGGAGATAGGCAGGTACCAGTTGCACAGAACTTGGGCCATACACTTTGCTGCTGAAACGCAGTGCATGCAGAGCTGCAGGTAATGCTTTTTCATGCTTTCCATCGAAAATAAACTTCTGGGCTGTGCTGGATGTAAGATCGATGATGTATTTCTGCCAGGAAAAACAATAGTGGGGCAAGGTGAGCAAAGGATAAGGAGAAAGAATATGCATGGCCTCTTTCCACATTCCAGTCTGCGCTGTTAACAATCACTTTATAATTTTATTTGTGTCTGTAATTAATAGATGGAAATTAAAGCTGTCATATTAGTGCCTGGATTTCATTCCTACTTCTGGTAAGAACAGCTCTGGGCATCCTCGTAGGTCATGTGGTGTCTTGTGAGACAAAGAATCCTTCAGGCCCATGAAAAAGGACTAACAAGGTTGTAGCAATAAAGGCCGTGAAGCACAGAAAACGATCATCACAAGACCAGAGAAAAGATCAGACAAAGGGGTTACAGCAGGATTTCGCTGACGATAACGGTGACTCATAGCAGGCAGCAGAGCGTATGGTTTGCCAGGCTGTTGCCAGCATGGCACATCTCCAGCTGCAGGAGACACTGTCTGGAAGTAAGGGGAGAGCTGTGCTGCAGCACACTGCCCCTCAGCCCGGAGAAGGGCAGCTTCGGGGTGGGACAGCAGCCACGATCCCCGGGGCTTGGCAGCTTCCTCTCACCCTCTGCTGGCCAATTCTGGGCTTTGAAGGGCCGACGGTTTGGATGCAGAATCTGGAAAAATTGGTCAAAATCAGAAAACTCCAATGCACTGCATTATATTCCTGCATCTTGGATGGGGCCCTGGGCAAAGCGATCCAGTAGCTGTGGAGATCTGTGAGAGAAGGTCAGAAGGGGATGGGCTGTAAGGTCCCTTGGAACCCAAACCATTCCCTGATTCTGTCATCTCCATAACCCAAGTTTAGTCTGCTCATCAAGCAGCTTTGTAGGATTTCTGTGTGTCAGAAACCATAGCGTTTGCCACAGGTACAACCACTGCCTGTCCTGTGCAGCTCCTAGCAGCCCACACTGCATTTGGTCTTGTCACCCTTTGCAGTACCTGATCATCAGCTCCAAATGTTCTGTACTTGAATGCCTGCTCATTGCCAAGGACTCTACAGCAACTGCAGATGGTGTGCCCTTACAACATGCCACGGGATGCCAATGAAAAAGAGCCAGGATGCTTACCTATTTCTATTAGCTTTCATCGAGATAGTTGCCAACTCCCAGCACTTCTCTGTTGGCTTTTTGCACAATGCAGAGCAGAGGGAAGGCTGCCTGCAAACAAATCTCATTGCTGGTATGCCTAGCAGGGCTGCATGGTAGGTAGCAAAGCACTCTTCTTTGGCTAGAAGGCACAAACAGGCCTGTGCAGCGAGTGCCTGCAGAAAATAACGTTGTACCTCTTTGCAGGCTGTGCTTTGTTGCCCGATGTTTCCCAGTTGCAGCAGAGCAGAGGGCAGAAAAAGCAAATTTCAGTGCTGTTAGAGGCCAGGTTATGGTTTTAGCATTTTACTGATCTCGAAGTGCTCAGAAAGGCAGATAAAAGTGAAGGAACAGCTCAGGGGCAAGGAACCACAAGGACAGTGCGCGAGTGCATACCGGAGATCCTGGCTGAGATAAAGGGAAATGCTTTCTAGATAAATGAGAGCTTCACCAAATGCATCCCAGAGTGAGCTGCAGCAGCAAGGACATCCAGGAGCACGGAAGCACAACCATCATCCCCCTCTCCTGCACCTGTGCTACCAGCACATACAGCAGGAGAAAGGGCTGGAAACAACAGAAGCCCTGCAGCACGGAATATTTGAGACAGCGCAGTTGCAAGCCTGGGAGGCATCATTAGCTTTGGCCCTGCACCACTTTGCTCGTAGCGCTCTTTTCACGTGTGCAGCAATTACAGAAATTTCTCTGAAGATGCTCCCATGAGTTTTTCCCTGGTTGGGGTTTGAGGAGGCAGAGGAGCACAGCTCGGCTGCAGCAGGGAGCAGGGGTTGGGCAAACACCCGAGCTCTGTGTCACATCCGTTCCCACGCTCGCAGGCACCCGCCACGACGGCACCCTTAGGTAAAAATACACTTTAAAGAGGAAGAAGGGCCTTCAGTCAGTCTGAAAGTGAGCCCTTGGAGTTAAGGCCTGCAGCAGCAGGGCTGGCACTGATGCTGGAGGATGGCTGTAGCTGGCCAAGGTGCAGATTTTTTCCCATCCCCAGAGGCTGTGGTAAGCTGACATCACGCTTGGTGCAGGCAGTGAGGCTATTCCACAAACAGAAACTTGGAGTTTTTTCAGTTTGCAGGTATTGTCTGCAGGCACCCCCACGGCTATGTTGACAAAAGCAGATTTCTATCAACAAAGTTTTGGAGCACATCTGAGGTATGAAACTCATAACCTCCTGGCTCCCAGCTTAACGCACCTTCCCTTAGGCCAAAGGGCATTCCAGTGTGCACAAGCTTTCCTGTGTCCTGACAGAGGCTTCAGTTCCATGTTTTCCAAACAAGCACAGCACAAGAATTCGTGAAATGCAATAGAAAAGTTCAGAAAATAATAAACCCACGTGCAAGGGCTTTTCTCTGCGAAGAGACTGCGTCGCTTTTCCCTGAGCATCAAAGACCTTTCAAGCATTTTTGTTTGCCCTCTGAATGGGAAAACAAAGATGGGGCTCTGAATAATCCCACCCTCTCCACACTGCCCTTCCGATGCTCCTCAGCCAGTCTAGGCCAGTTTCCCTGCACCTCACTGCACACAAAAGCAGACTCCACCGGTGGACTAGGAGCTGCAGTCCTGCTGTGTAAGAAAGCAAGTAACAAACAAAACGTTTCTGCTTTTTCACCCTTTTCTTAAGGGAGAAGAAAGACAACGTGCCCTTCCATATAACACTCAGCATCTGCTTCGTTTCAGCAGTTTGCAGTATATACTGAGGTCAAAGAACAAATGCAAGGAGTTGTTAAAAATCCTGTAAAAGTCTTCCTTTAGAAAAACAGTGGGAATCTGCTCTCTGTAGCCTTTCCTGTGAGGTCAATCCAAGCCCGGGCTCAAGCTGCAGTTCTGCAGTCGCTGTGTGCTAACCTAGGTGTGCACTGCAATCAAGAGCAGTGGCTGCTCCTTTGCCTACTTCTCTACCAGTTTTATGTTCCTGGTGCACTCCGTAGAACGCTATAAAAACAAATGATCAGCGTCCAGCTGAAGCACTGCGTTGATTCTGCAGTCGTGCTGTGCTGTAATGCATACAGCATAGTTTTAGTTGCTACCAAATCAATAATGCAGTAACAGATGCTTTTGACAACGTTTGATTTGTAGGTAAAGTGTTTTGGAAAAGCTTTAAGCTGTAAATAAGCACGAGAGCTGCCACCACTCTGCATTATTCTTGACACTGTGTGTGGAAATACTCCTGACATACAATTGGGCAACTTCAGGGCTTGCAGTAACATGAGCAAAGCCCGTTTTTCCTATATTTAGGATGTCTTTCCCACTCCCAGACTCCTTGTACATGTTTAGATAATGAGCCACAGCCTTCACCTCACCTCTACCACCCTCTTGGCTTTGACAATATACTGTCACATTTTTTCTGCTCTTTGATCCACAATCTTGTTTGTGATTTTCCATCAGGTGACATTTTCAAAACAAACTTGGGTGTCGGTGCCTAATTGCCACAAATCTGAAAGGAATCTGTTGCCTAAAGCCTCTCACAAGCTTTCACCACGCACAACTTCTGTCCATGCAGGTTCCTTCTCTTTTAGGCTTTTTCCTTCTGCGTGCTCACAAGAAAGGTAATGACTTCAGCAATGAGCCAAAGTGCTAACACCTGACCCAGAAACAATCTTAAAAACAATACAGGATGTAAAGCACTGAAGATTAATGATCCTCCCAGTGGCACCGTTTGTTTGTTACCATTTCACTTTCAGTTGTTCTGTTGTCCTGCTATCCTGCGATTAGGAGTTTTGCAACGATAGGAGGATGATTTATTTTTATGGGAAAGATCGTTCTAAGTAACAGAGGTATTTGGGCGGGTTATTTTCTTTTATCAACGCTGTGGAAAGGCAGATCCTGCATCCCATAAACAAACACAAAAAAAACCAACCCACAACAGTTCTTCTCTGACTGGAAAGGAGCTGCACATCTGCACCTCCGAGGAGGCCAAAAAGCAGAGATAAAAAAACCACACTTAGTGGGAAAGAGCATTTAAAGTTGTGGAGGTAAACAAGGGGAAGGGTTTTAATTCTTTGCTCTCTGCTTTGAGGAAGGGGAATCCCTCTCATCAGTGAGGGATGAGGACAGTCGTAAGAACCAGAACTCAGCTGGATCCCAATGGACTTATTGCTGATTGCCATTGCAAGGTAGGAGATGCAGGACTGCTGCTGTCGGGCCAGCAAAGATAAGGAAGCTCAAGTTTTGGAGGAAGGGCTGCCAGAAGGCAAGAGACTTTTAGAGTTGGAGAGAGAACATTCCTGCTCCTTTTATTGGGAAGTTTTAGTTGCAGAGTCTTTAATACTTTTTTTTTTTTTTGTAAACAAAGTACTGATTAACAAACTACATGCCCTCCCAACACAACGCACATCAAAATACAAAAAGAGATCTAATCAAATTTCACTGGCAGCACTTTGAAGTGGTATTCCTCCTTCTTGTACATACCTGCCTCTTCACCAGCTGTTCCACTCCGTGTTTTCTTTCTTCTTCAGAAGTGAGAAAAGGGAGGGATGTGCGGACTGGAATCAGCAGCTGGCATATTTTCTCATGGATACTAACCCAGTCGGCTTTCTGATGACCTACATCGCTAACAAAATAAAGAAAGAATTATATTTTTGTTTACTTTGAAACAAGGTGAAGAAAGATTATTGCTTGTTGTTTCTTCTGGACTTTCACCACAAGATTTACTCACAACAGCCGCCGCTCCGTAACTTCTTAGAACTGCTGAATCATTCTGGTTGGAAAAGACCTCCAAGGCCATCACTCCAACCATTAACCCATCAACCACGACCCTAAGTGTCACATCTCCACGTCTTCTGAGCACTTCCAGGGATGGTGACTCCACCACTTCTTTGGGCAGCCTGTCCTAAAGCTCCACAACCTTTTTGGTGACAGAATTTTTTCTGATGTCTGACCTAAAACCCCCTGAGAGCAACTCCAGGCCGCTTCTCTGTCCTGCCGTTGTTTGGAGGAGCCTGACCCCAGCTCACTGCAGCCTCCTGTGAGGCATCCGTGGGAGCGGTGAGGCTGATGCTCATCCTGGCGTCACAGGGACACACAGCTGGCGGGATGTCAGTACACTCGCGTGGCCCGCAGGCGGTGCCGCTATGCCGTGCGTTAAGGCCTACACTCACAGAGCCTCCCACGCCACTCGGCTCTTTCGAACGCCTCGCTTTCAGCACCAGAGCGAAAAGCCCACCGAAGCCAACCCAACCCCGAGCCCGACTGGTGACACCGGTGACATCTGTCCTTAACTGTGGCCGCACCAAGAGCTCCGGGGGGCGCGGACAGCCGGAGGCCCTCACCAGTAATACGTGAGGCGGCAGCGGGAACACCGCAGCCGCGCCGCCGCCCCGCACAACTCGCAGCGGCCAGACCGCTCCAGCGTCCCTCAGCGCGGTAGCCGCGTTGCCGTGGCGACGGGGCGGCGCTTCCGGTGTGAGCAGTGCTTCCGGCGGAAGTAGAAGAGGGCAGCACCGTCATGGCGGCGGAGGCACTTCCGGCGGAAGTAGACGGAGGTTGGGCGGGCATGGCGGCTGCGAAGGAGGAAGCCGCGGCGGCGGCGGCGGAGGAGCGCGTGCGGGTCTGGGCGGCGGCTCAGGTGGCGAGCGGGCGGCGCGTGGCGCTGGTGACTTCGGGCGGCACGCAGGTGCCGTTGGAGACGCGGGCCGTGCGCTTCCTGGAGAACTTCAGCAGCGGGCGACGCGGCGCGGTGTCGGCGGAGCGCTTGGTGAGCGCCGGGTACGGCGTTTGCTTCCTGCACCGCGCGCGCTCCGCCTTCCCCTGGGCCCGCGTGCTGCCGCCGCCCGGCCCCGCGCTGCTCGACGCCCTCTGCCTCACCCCGGGGCCGCCCCCCGGCGTGGCCGCCGACCCCGCCGCCCTGCCCGCCCTGCTGCCCGCCCTCCGCGCCTACCGGCAGGCAGCCGACGCGGGTGCGCTGCTGTCGCTCGAGTTCACCAGTCTGAACGAGTACCTGGCGCTGCTCCGCGCCACCGCCCGCGCCCTGGCGCCATTCGGTAAGAGCGGAGCTGGAAGGGGAGTGGGGGGATCGAGGGGACGGAAGGGATCTGCTGTGTGGGACCCCTGCGCTATGGGGAAAGGAGACCCCTGCGCTGAGGGGCTGGGCTCACCTCGCTGATCATCTCTGCGCTGTCTGAGCCCCTCTCGGAAGCATGTGTGAGGGGCTGCAGCTCTGGCATCACATCACCATGTGTTGGCAGCGCAGCCTGCCGCAGAACGGCAGTGCAGAAGGGCCTGGCTGCTCTGTGCAGGCTGCCAGCAGTGATGGTTGTGTCTCTCGCAGGCTCTGGTGTCATGTTTTACCTGGCAGCTGCAGTGTCTGATTTCTACATCCCTGCCTCAGAGATGTCTGAGCACAAGATCCAGTCCTCAGAGGGAGCCCTGCAGGTGAGGTGCACCTGGGCAAGGCTCCTGCCCTTGCCCCACTGTCCTGTCATGGATGTAGCAGCAGGGGACTGGCAGTGAGATCTGGGAAAGGTTGCAGAGCAGCGGTTCATTAATCAGAAACATACATTTTCACAATTAATTCCTTAGCACAGGAAAAATAAGACCCTACCTGATTCCCAGCGGCACACCCAGATGCAAAGAAGTTGGAGAGTACAAAGGCAGTTACTCCTTTTCCCCATGCTTTGGCATATGCATCTTTCACGTGCTTTAAAGAGATGATAGAAGGGTTATGATTTGATAACGTGCTTGGATTTTCGAGAGCTGAAAACGCTGCATTTTGCAGTTTGTGTTCTTATCTTCCTTTGCTGATGTTTACAGTAGCAAAATGGACTTTAGTACTTACATAAAAACAAGCTCATGCAGTTACTGCAGGCCTGCTTCATAGTTTAAGAACATCCTGGTTATTGTTAGCAGTAGAGAGGTATTTGAATTCAGTTTTGCAGTACGTACTGTTAATGAAATCTGACAAAACAGTGTCTTGAAAATCCTTCCAAAATAAAACCCACATGAAGTGAAGGTGGAATTTCCGTACTCCCCTTGTTTCAGTGACTTTTTTTCCCACTGTAGATTACAATGAAGATGGTGCCAAAAATGCTGTCTCCTCTCGTCAAAGAATGGGCTCCGGAGGCTTTTGTTATTTCCTTTAAATTGGAAACAGATCCCTTGATCTTGATCGATAAATCACGCCAGGCTCTGGAGAAATACCGTCACCAGGTGGTGGTAGCAAATATCCTGGAGTCACGAAGAACCTCTGTTATTATTGTAACCAAAGACTCACAGACTCCATTATCTCTTTCTGAGGAGGAAATAGCGCAAGGCGTGGAAATAGAAGAAAAAATAGTGAGTTATCTTCAGGGCCAACATACCTTATTTATGGAAAAGAAAATCTGATGAGCAGCTGTGGATGGAGCAAATGAAGTTGTACTAGAGAGAGCAGAATTGGAGCAACTCTTTGTCCCACGTGAATAGAATAATAATCAGAGCAACCCTACGGAGGAGGCTGCCGTCCAAAACTCTGCACTTTTCTACTGCTTGGTAATAGTTGCTATAGCTTGCTTTAAAAAAAAACAGTAAAGTGCACTGAAGTGAAAGCATTCCAAAGGATGGTATTTGTTCTAGTCTGTAAAGAAGGAAAGGTTATGTTGTATTTCTGTTCCATGCCCTGGGAAAGGGAGAAATGGTACTTATAAAATGTTTTCTCGAATCTGCTTCTTCAAGTTTCTTTCTGGATGGAAGGAACAGAGCTTTGTGGTGCTCAGCCACGGGCTGGAGTGAAAGCGCAGCACTGCCAGTCAGCTGGCATTGAGAGGGATGGGGACACTGCTGGGGCACATGGAATGAGAACGGGGTGTGACAACATTGCAGGGCATCTGTTGCTCCGGGATGGATCCTGTGCATCTACACTGAGAGAACTCTGCACATAAATGCAGTCAGAGCAACACTGCAACACCTGCTGCTGTGATTTATTTTCTTTGAGCGTTTTCCCCTTGGCTGCCTGCTGTCTGTGAACTGGTACGTGGTGTAGGAGGCACCCGTGTGAGGCTTCAAGAATCACAGAATCGTAGAATGGCCTGGGTTGAAAAGGACACAATGCTCATCTGGTTCCAACCCCCTGCTGTGTGCAGGTCACCAACCAGCAGCCCAGGCTGCCCAGAGCCACATCCAGCCTGGCCTTGAATGCCTGCAGGGATGGGGCATCCACAACCTGCTGTGGTTGAGAAGCTGTGGGATGCGAGGATATAGAGAATAGCTGCGGTGAGCAAAGTAGGTTGTTGTCTGGTGTCCTTCCAGCAGCCGTTGTGTGGCGGCGGCGGTCGGTCTGCGGTGGGATGGTGTGTGGTGGGGGGTCCGTGCAGTGCAGTTTGACTCAAGCTGGGGGAGATGCACCCGGAGCGCTGTGTGAGGGGGCTGAAAGGGACGCTGCAGGCGCAGCCCTGCTAGAGAAGAGCGCGATGCCCGGGCTGGGAACGTTCCTGCAGCTTCGTCGGGGAGTTGCGTGGCGGGGAACCCGCCGGACCGCGATCAGCTTGGGGGAGGGAGCGGGCGGGGCTGTGACCCCTCGGCCCGGGTTGAGCGGGGGCGGGGCATCGCGGCGCCATGGCAACGGGCAGCCGCGAGCGAGGCGCCGATTGGCCGACTTCCGGAAGACCCGCCCCAACGGGTGAGTGTCGCTTCCGCAGCCAATCGGCGCCGCGCTCGGGGCAGCCCGTTGCCATGGCGCCCCGCCGCCCCGCGGCCCGTGCTCGCGTCGCATGGAGGCGGCGGCCGCCGCACCGGTGAGTTCCCGGGCTCTGCGGGCGGGTGCCGGCGGCGCGTCGCTCACGGCGGGTATCGCTTCCCTGCAGGCGGAGCCGCCGGTACCGGCGGAGGACGTCCGGCGCTGGCTGCGGGCGGAGGGCGCGGATCCTGGCGACCCGGCGGAGGAGCAGCTGGGTCTGGCCTGGCGGCTGCTGCGGCGCGCCGAGGCGCGGTTGGGGGACGCGGAGCGGCGGCGGGCCGAGGAGTTGAGAGAAGTAAGGGATGAAATGGCTGGGCTCTGCCCCGAGAGAGACGGCGGGGAAGGGAGAGAGGCTGGAATCGCGGGACGGCCGGGGCTGGAAGGGGCTCACGGAGCTGCTTCCCCAGGTGGAGCGTTACGTGGGTCACGTCCGCGGGCTGAGCCGGGAGCGGGATGCGGCCATCGCGGAGTGCGAGCGGGAGAACGAGCGGCTCGGGACGGAGCTGGCGCGGCTGCGGCTGCAGCACGGTAATCCAGCGCTGCGCGGCAGGGGTGCGGGCAGCTTTCCTGCGGGGCTTTGTGAGACTGGTGATGTTTGGGCGTAGAGGAATTTGATGAGGTTCAATTAGGGTGAGTGTGAAGTTCAGCAGATGTGGAGGAATAACTGCGTGTGCAACCCCTGACCTGCACTGACGTGGCTGGAGAGGAGCTCTGCTGAGAAGGACCTGGGTGTCCTGGTGGCCACAGGCTGACCATGAGCCAGCAGGGCGTTCTTGAGCCAATGGCACCCGGGGTGCATTGCACAGAGTGTGGCCTGCAGAGCGAGGGAGGTTCTCCTCCCCTCTGCTCTGCCCTGGGGAGGCCACATCCGGAGCACTGGGCCCAGTGCTGGGCTGCCCAGTTCAAGGCAGGCAGGGAACTGCTGGGGAGAGCCCAGCAGGGCTACAGAGAGATCGGGGCCTGGAGCATCTCCTGCATGAGGAAAGGCTGGGAGCCCTGGGGCTGCTTAGAGAATCTCAGCAACGTTTGTATCACAGGGCAGGTGTCTAACGAATGATGCCAGGTTCTTTTCAGTGGTGTGTAGGTCATTTGGTCCAACCCACAGCTCCATCAGGTGCTCAGAGCCCCTCCAGTCCCTCTCCAGGGATGGGGTACCACCACCTCTCTGTGCATCCCCAGCCCCGAGCTAACTGGCAACAAACCCCTCAGCCGAGTGCTGAGCTGTGTTCCTGCTAGAAGTGGTGGAGCAGCTTTGCCATTGGATTTGGTCTAGAGAAGGCCCGTATATTTAAAGAAAACTTTGTAGGACACCTGTGTATTCGCATTAGCAGTTCAAACCCTGTGGTTTGTGTTTACTTCAGTGCCATCATTTTGTTTGGAATATAGTCTCTTCCTTTAAATAATTTGCTTTTCTCTCAAACATAAGGTCACTTCTTTCTTGACTTACTCCCGTCTTCTTTTGTGCACTGAGCACTGCTCGGAGCATGTTCTTACCATTAGCTCTTCCTTCTATGCTGTGCCTTATCCTGGGTCTGTGGTGAAGGTGGGGTGAGAAGCACGGCTGGAACAGTTTCTTTGTTATGTGCACTTCATTTTGGGCAAAGATATAGGAGTTTGGGGAAGTTAATTGCTTTTTTGAGAGTTGGTTCTGGGCGGCCTGCAGATCTTAGGGAACATGTCTGGCAGTGTGACTGTACAAGACAGGTGAGTTCAGCCCAGTCTGAAAATCTCACTGCTCTGTGGCCCCTTGGTTTCCTGGAGCCACTTGCTGCTGCAACCAGCACAGGGGTTTGTAATGATGGAGTGACTTCTTGCAAGTGTCGCTGTGGTAGAAAACTGTACGGATTTTTTTCCCCTCACCTTCCCCACCAGGTGGCAGGCAGGAGATGGAAACGTCCCCAAAGCTTTGTTGGAATTTATTTCTCCTTGCTGGCTCTGCTCTTTTCCACTTTTTGTGTTTTTTAGGGATTCTCATGGCTGTTGGGCAATGATTAACATTCAGATGAAAGCTGAGTTCTGTCCCCATTGCTTGCTATTTGAGACCAGGTTGCTCTCAGCCCGCCATCCATGAGGGCTTTCTGTGGCTTACAGCACTTTTATGTGCTGGGGCTTAGCTGGAGGACTGCAGCTTTGCTGTCTCATGCATGGGAGCAGCTTTGGATTGGAGGCTGTGGAATACCCCAGTAGCTGTGTCCTGGGTCCTGGAATGTTTGTGGCTGCATGTCAGCCTTTCCCTCTGAAAGCTCAGCCTGGGGGGTGGGTGCTCATCTTCTCAGTGCTCGCTCCAGCTGGACGTCTGTGGCTCTGGACAGGATGTGCCTCAGCTGCTTGTAGTTCATGAGGGTCATTTCTTGGGCTGTATTTTTTTTTTTTTTTCTACCACTTTTCTTTTTCCCTTCTGGTCCCTCCCCAGTTATTCTTCCTCCTTTACAAAGAACACTGCCCATCTCTGTCTCTGTGCCTCTGCTGCCCGTTGTGTGGCTGCAGGGTTTGGAGCTGCATCTCTGCTCGCTCTGTTCCCTGGGCCTCTGCTTTTTGCTGGAATGTGTGCAAACCAGCCCAGATGATTCCTCCCAAGTGCTGTGGGTGTAGGGCAGGCAGAGGGCCTGGATCTAGAGGCTGGGTGTCCTCCAGGTCTCACTGTGCCTCTTGTTTTGTTTTGTTTCTCTTTAGGAGGGACAAGATGATACTGCAGATCAGGCTTTATCAAAACGGGGCTGGAGAAGGGGTCTTGTGAAAAGGAAGGCCCCCAGCCCCCTGGGGTTGTTAAACAGAAATGTGAGCAAGGCGAGTCCAGAGGACCGGGCCTGGAGAATCACTGTAGCCATGCCTGGTTTTGTGTTGAGCTATTGATGCAGCTTCACCTCATTTGGTACCTCTGCCCAGATTTAAATTTTTCCTGTCCTCGAGGCAGCTCATAATCCATTTCTGATGGTTCTCATCTCGTGTGCCTCCGTGTTTTTGGAGGGCAGATCGATAACTCATGCACTGAATTACCAAAGCTTTTATGAAAAACAAATGTACCAGCAGTAAAACACAATGCAGTTGGAGCCTACTGTGATTTAAGAGCGAAACAAACAGAATAGTTGTAGCCTGTTTGTTGTAATAGCTGCATTGCTCACGTGTAGGCAGCATGGATGAGTTCCTGTTGTGGGTGTGATAGCTGTGAATGGCTTGTCCCTGTGTGGCAGGGAGGGAAACCTTGTGAAAGCAAGGCAGCTTTGCAAATACAAAGTGTGCTTCCAAAGAAGTGGCTGTGCAGTGGGAATGCATGAGTGTGCTGCTATGACACTGATCATAGAGGATGTTTGCTGTCTTCAAGCATGGGTATGGTGGAGAAGGCTTTGGGAGATGCTGGTGAGAAATCAGGAGGATTTACAAGCAGCAGTCTGTGCTATAAACAGCAGGCTGCCCTCATCCTCTCAAATCTTTCTTTCCTCAGCCTGTGTAAAATGTCCAGATCCTCTTGCCACAGGCTAAATCATGTAGTGTCATTTTTGCAGATTGGGTGGGAGGCAAATTGATGCCCCATCCCTGAAGGAATTCAAGGCCAGGCTGGATGTGGCTCTGGGCAGCCTGGTCTGGTGGTTGGCGACCCTGCCTGTGGCAGGGGGTTGAAAGGAGATGAGTGCTGTGGTCCTTTTCAACCCAGGCCATTCTATGATTCAGGTACCTTCAAGCAAAACTGCCAGCCAAGAAGCAGCTGCAGGAGGTCAGAGCTGTCAGGGCTGTACTCAGAGCAGCTTTCAGAGGAGCTGCAACTCTGACTGGGAGCACAGGTGGGATTTGGCAAAGCCATGGCAGGAATCTGTAGGGCACGTTGGGTGTTAGGTGGGCTTTTTGATTCAATGTGAACTGTAGGCTCTTCCTAATGCTTATGGAGCAAGGGGTGAGTTAGTTTTTCAATTGCAAAATGCAATATTTTGTGGTTTGCTTCAAAGAGGGAAGCAGCAAACGAGCTGTATTTGACCTCTTTGTGAAACAAA